TTTTGCTTTGAGCTGCGAGCTAGAATTCGGGTTACGAGCCAGCTTCAGATACCCCACCGCTAGTTGGCACAGCGAACGCGACCGTGAACACCACCACATCAGCCCAGCATCACGTGTCTCACTCGTTCACTTTTTGATTTGACATACGAGTAATCTGAGTTGCGAGCTCCATCATGGAACGAATTAAACTCGTAAGTCAAGGCCCCACTGTATAAGACAGAAGAAAAAATGTCCCTCTCTTCAAAGTTTAGCCAAAGAACTAGTTTCCTGAGAGGCCTATGTTACCACTGAAAGCCCAGAAAAGGAAGGAAGGCAGTCCCTACCCGCTTTGGCTCAGTGGATAGAGCTTCGGAGCCTGCAGACCGAAGGGTCCCGGGTTCGATTCTGATCAAGAGTGTGTACCTCGGTTCCAGGCTCCTCCCCGGCCCAGGCCCTGGTCCCTGGTCAGGGCTCATGCAGGAGGCAACCCATCAATGTGTTTTTCTCACTGTTTCTCTCTGTCTTTCCCTCTCTCCCTAAAAATCAATGGGAAAATATCCTCGGGGTGAGGATTAACAAAAAAAAGAAGAAAAAAAAGGGGGGGAGGCGAAATTGTGGAGTCTAATTCGGTTCCTAATACAAGTCACTTCCATGGACTTTTAACAATAAGGGGGGAGCACGAGGCTGCGGTGATGTCATTTTACAACAACCCCCGACGCAGACAATAAAAGGGTGACAGAGCCCAGGCCTCCGCCTGGTCTGTGCACGGGAGACAGGCGGGAACATGGGAAAGCGTCCGTCTCCCCAGGGAGCCGCGCCACGGGGGCCGCCCGCTTTCATCTCCCCAGTTGTCTGCGATGGTATGTGGTGGGAAGGGGGTGCTGGCCATTAAGGGGTGTCACTTGCAAGATGGATAGTTTGGAGAGAAAGGAGTTGCCTCTCTTCTGCTGGTGTGGAAGGAAACGACCGTGTGTTTACCATTTGTAAACGGTGCCTGTCTCGCTGGGTGTGTTACACTTCCCAGAAGCGCGGTCTGTCATGTGTAACACGCACCAGGGGCCAGAAGGGCCGCGCGAGCGAGCCCTGGGATACAGCCTGTGCGTGCAGCTCTGTGAGCACAGCTCAGCACTGGAGGCTGACATACAGGGAGAAGAAATAATGGATTGGAATATGGGTGCGAATGATGGTGCCTTACTATTGAAAATCCCCCTAGTTACAAATCTCTGAAAGAAGTCAGAGTGAGCCCGGCCAGTGTGGCTCAGTGGTTGAGCATCGACCTCTGAACCAGGTCACAGTTTGATTCTTGGTCAAGGGCACAGGCCTGGGTTGTGGGCTTGGTCCCCTGTAGGGGGTGTGCAGGAGGCAGCGATCCATGATTCTCACTCATCATTGATGTCTCTATCTCTCAATAAAAATATATTTTAAGAAAAAGACGTGAGAATGAGAAGATATGGAAGAGGACTGGAAAGTTCACCGAGCTCACCAAAGACTGTGTTAAGCGAAAGAGGCATAAACAGTTACGTTTTCATTTTAGACGAATTCCTCTAGAACAGCGGTTCTCAACCTGTGGGTTGAAACCCCTTTGGGGGTTTGAACAACCCTTTCACAGGGGTCACCTAAGACCATCGGAAAACACATATTGAATATATAATTACATATTGTTTTTGTGATGAATCACTATGCTTTCATTATGTTCAATTTGTCACAATGAAAATACATCCTGCGTATCAGATATTTACATGACGATTCATAACAGTAGCAACATGACAGTTATGAAGTAGCCACGAAAATAATTTTATGGTTGGGGGTCACCACAACGTGAGGAAGTGTATGAAAGTGTCGTGGCATGAGGAAGGTTGAGAACCACTGACCTAGAAGATTTCACAGGAATATGAAATTGAGGAAGCAAAAACAACCATGGCTGTGCTGGGGCTATTAAAGGCCCTATGATGTGGAATCTAATGAACAAAATAAACTGATGAACAAAATAGATCCTGAGACATGGAAGCATGAACAGCCTGTGGAATCTCAAAGGGAAGGCGGGGGAAGGTGGGGGGGAAGAGATCAACCAGAGAACTTGGATGCATTTGTGCATCACCTGTGGACACAGACAGTGGGGTGGAGAGGGCCTGGGGAAGGAGGGGGGGTAGACGAGGTCAATGGGGGGGGGGGGGGAGGGGGGAAGGGGACAGATGTAATACTTTCAACAATAAAGATTTAAAAAATAAATAAATGAAGTCTCTCTAAAGATACTACACTCAAAGGGTCTCAAGAACAAAACTGCCCAGGAGGCAATGGGGGGAGACCGAGTACAAGGCCCTCAGTGTGGGAAAGGCTGACGCCATAGCTCCACGGCTCATCCCTGTAGACCAGTGGTTCTCAACCTTCCTAACGCCGCGACCCTTTAATGCAGTTCCTCCTGTTGTGGTGACCCCCAACCATAACATTATTTTCGTTGCTACTGCATCACTGTCATGTTGCTACTGTTATGAATCATCATGTAAATATCTGATATGCAGGATGTATTTTCATGGTTACACATTGAACATCATGAAAGCATAGTGATGAATCACAAAAACAATAGGTAATTATCTATGTGTTTTCCGATGGTCTTCGGCGACCCCTGTGAAAGGGTCGTTCGACCTCCAAAGGGGTCGCGACCCACAGGTTGAGAACCACTGCTGTAGATGCTGTGGTTCCGACGCAGTCGTCCTCGCCTGGAAAGGCTAGAAGCGCAGCCCGGATGGCTCTGCCTCCAGACCCTGAGGTAGCCCTGGAGACACCCGAGAGTAAGGTTTGACCTTGACAACCCATGGCCTGTAGTCCAAGGGCTGAAGTTATTGCCTCTAGTTGACTGACCTCCGACTTCTCACTCATTGCCTTCCCGTCCCTGGGTGGGTCATTTAAAAAGGGCTGGCCAATGGGAAAGAAATCTTCCTCACTTTCAAGCCTTGGTTAATAAAATGTAGGCCAGTTCCTAGTACAGGTTTAAAATAATTTCATTAAAACGGAAATTTTCATTTAAAACTGTGTTTCGCCTGGCCGGTGTGGCTCAGTGGTTGAGCATCAACCCAGGAACCAGGAGGTCACAGTTCGATTCCAGGTCAGGGCACATGCCCAGGCTGTGGGCTCAACGCCATGCAGGAGGCAGCTGATTGATAATGTTTCTCTCTCATGGATGTTTCCATCTCTCTATCCCTCTCCCTTCCTCTCTCTCCAAAAATCAATTAAAACATGTTAATGAAAAAAAAAAAAGACTTGCTTCCTTTGAGAAGCCTTCCCAGCATGCACTGTGGCTTGGCTATCTCTATGTCTAATGTTCAAGGAGCTACGTCACCCGGAAACCACTCAACATCAATTCATCAACAAGAAAGTTGCATCTGTGTGACCTTTTTTTTTCTGAAAAAGGGCAATTTACTTAAAAAAATATTTTACTACTTGATTTCATTATTTTGCTACGAATGATCATTTTAACACCACAGGTAAGGTTTACTCTGGAATGCCCTCAATGCGCTACAAATGGGCAAAACCATCTGCCTCTCTCGATTCATTTGAAGGCCCTCTGTGTCACGGAGCCCGTGTTTTTATATTCATTGCTATTTCCTGGGCGTTTTATATTGGATTCTAACTGTTAAGATCTCCCCCTCCCCCTCAAGCATCCAAAACGCTATACCATGCGTCTCTCCCAGTACCTCCCTCCCCCCGATGCCCACAGGTTCTGGGGACTGAAGTCCATTAAGCTAGTAGGATCGCATTTGGCATTTCCTTTTCTTTTCCATTTTATTCCAGAAGGTTTGTCTGAAAGCGTAATGACAACAGAAGCACCGGCTTTGAGAGCTTCTCCCAGGAGAAGGGAAAGGACAGATGTACCCAGACGGAGAGCTGCACGCGCTGCCAGCAACAGCTGGGGAAGTGACAGCTCTGAAGTGGGTGGCCACCCCGCAGCGCGCGGGCCGGAGCCTGAAGGGGGAGCAATGTCACTTGATTTACTTGTGACTTCCCCGCAACCCTCCGTCGACCTTCCAGACGCCACGGAGAAGCACACCTTCGCCCACAGCCAAGGACAGCCCCCCTCCCGCTCTGCTGTTTTATCTTTTTAATATATTTGTATTGATGTCAGAGAGGAAGAGAGAGACAGAAACATCAATGATGAGAGAGAATCATGCATCAGCTGCTTCCTGCACACTCCATACTGGGGATCGAGCCCACAACCCGGGCATGTGCCCTGACCCCTGACCGGGAATCGAACCATGACCTCCTGGTTCATAGGTCGACGCTCAACCACTGAGCCACGCCGGCTGGGCCTATAGCTATGCTTTTTCTACTATTTCAATTATTTCTCACATTTTGCCCCTTTTCATCCTCATTTTTACAAATGAATGAAAAGAAACAAATAGATATGTCTTACAAAGGGACATTCTTTGTAAATGATATGAATATTAACCTTCTGGTTACTCTATAGTACAAAAAAATAAAAGCATCTGACACAACCTGGAAGGAAGCTATCTGCTGAAAACATGAATGTCCCGCCCTGGCTGGTGTGGCTCAATGGATAGAGTATCGGCCCTCAGACTGAAGGGTCCTGGGTTTGATTCAGGTCAAGGGCACGTACCTCGGTTTCAGGTTCCCCGGCCCTGATGGGGTGCATGCAGGAGGCAACCAATCGCTGTGTCTCTCTCACGTCAATGTTTCTCTCTGTCTCTCCCCCTCGCACTCTCTCTAAACATCAATGGAAAAATGTCCTCGGGTGAGGATTAACAAAACAAAACAAAACAAAAGAATGTCCCCTCCCTGTCGAGAGGTTCCGTGGAATATCCTCAGGTGAGGATTTAAAAAAAGAAAAAAAAGAAAGTCCCCTCCCTGGCGAGAGGTTCTGTGGCCACACTCACCTTGTCATCTTCATCCTCCTCGTCATCGACTTCCGTGCTCTCCTGAAAGGAAGCCCCACAATTAGTTAATGAAATATCAGCTGAAATGACCAAAGGCAAAATAAACTCATTCACATGAGAGAAAAATGTCTCCTTGTCATCTTCATCCTCCTCGTCATCGACTTCTGTGCTCTCCTGAAAGGAAGCCCCATAATTAGTTAATAAAATATCAGCTGAAATGGCCAAAGGCAAAATAAACTCATTCACATGAAAGAAAAATGTCTACAGCCCTGGCTGGTTTGGCTCAGTGGATAGAGCATCAGCCTGTGGACTGAAGGGTCCCGGGTTCGACTCTAATCAAGGGCACATGCCCGGGTTACGGGCTTAATCCCCAGCAGGGGGCGTGCAGGAGGCAGCCGATCAGTGATTCTCTCTCATCACTGATGTTTCTATCTCTCTCTCCCTCTCCTTCCTCTCTGAAATAAAAAAGAATAAAAGAAAAAAAAATGTCTACAGCCCTAGCTGGTGTGGCTCAGTGGATAGAGCATCAGCCAGCGGACCAAAGGGTCCCGGGTTTGATTCCGGTCAAAGGCATGTACCTCAGTTGCTGGCTCCTCCCCGGTCCGGGTCCTGGTCAGGGCATGTGCAGGAGGCAACCGATCGATGTGTCTCTCTCACATCGATATTTCTCTCTGGCTCTCCTTCTCTCTTCCACTCTCTCTAAAAATCAATGGAAAAATATCGCCGGGGTGAGGATTAAGAAAAAAATGTCTACAGAATTTATTGGTTGTCTTTTTAAAATCTAATATGCAAAAACACCCTTAAGGAGAACGCTTTGAGAGTTCAGGGGCACCGTGGCAACAGTGCACACAACACGCCTCATCTCCATAAAACTTCGTGATAAATACAGCCATGAGACGAGCGGCCTTGGAAGGCGCCCAGCTCCCAGGCGGCTCTGCTGGGCTGAACTCTCTCTAAACAGTTCTGTTCTCCTGACAGATGAACCGGCCGCTACGTTAAGGCGGAGAGGACCGCTCTCCGTTTGTGCGGGGTTCACTGTGAGAGCGATTTCTCTGCTCCGTGGGGGCCGTGACGGGAACATTTGACAGTAGAAGTGCGTGAGTCTGAATATCATCCATCTCAAGAGTAAGTGAGAGGTTTCTTTACGGTTTCACTGTTCTCCTTGGGCTTCGGGTTTGGGTGGGGGAGCAGGTGAGGGAGGAAAGACAAGGCCTTGATCTGGCCTAAAGGGCGCCCCGCTTTAGTTTGGGGGGGTCCCGGCACCGGCTGTGATGCGAGCAGGTTGGTTCAGATTCGATTTAAAACCCTGTCTCTAGAACAGGTAAATTTCAATCATACCACTGCAATATTTATTCATTGATTATTTTATTTTTTAATTGATTGCAGAGAGGAAGGGAGGGGGAGAGAAAGAGAAACATCAATGATGAGAGGGATTCATTGATTGGCTGCCTCCTGCAAGCCCCCTATGAGGGCTGGAGCCTGCAACCCAGGCATGAACGTGCCCTCTATCTGGGAATCGAACTGTGACCTTCTGGTTCAGGAGTCCGCGCTCAACCACTGAGCCACACCAGCCGGGCCGGAGATGATTTTTTCAATCATGAGAACATGCTAAGGGAAACTACGTGAAGAGGGTCCCCTTTTGCGTCTAGAAAAAACCCAATGTGACACTGATCTGTTACCAAGTCTCAAAGCCTTAGACTTTTGTTTAAAAAAACTGCTGGGATTTTGACCCTGGAATGCCAGGATCATACCATAAAAGAAGCCAATACATACAGGTTCCTGCTCACGGAGGGGTGGGGGGGAGAGAGCCCCTGGTGTGCGAGGAGAGAATGAGGGGGGAAGAAGGACAGGGAGTGGAGGCCGGTGTCTCTGAGGGGAAGCCTTGCAGGCAAGTCTGAGAATCGCAGCAGGAACGTGGGCACAGGAAGAGAGAGACGCATGCCCACACAGGCGGGGCTGTCCCCAGGAGTCGGCAAGCCTCTGAGAACCCCCCGAGCGTTCAGGCCGGAGGTGAGCACTGAATGGGGAGCCTGGGTGGAGGGGCCGAGGCAGCCTCCAGATGCTCTGCGTCCCCTGGAGGGACTTTTCTCTCGTGGCTGACAATGTTCTTCACCTTAACCTCATGGAGCACAGAGGTGCCTGCGGACACGTGCTGCTGGCCCGGGACAGATGACCGAGCACCACAGGGCTCTCCGGATTCTGGGGAAATAGCCCAAGACACAGAAACACAGAGGAGACCCCAGGTGATACCTGATACAAGATCTCTACTAAAGGCCTGGCCAGTGTGGCTCAGTGGGTTGAGCATCATCTCATGCACCGAAAGGTCATCGGTCCAATTCCAAGTCCAGGGCACATGCCCGGGTTGCCGGCTTGATCCCCAGGTATGGGGCATGCAGGAAGCAGCTGTCAGTTTCTCTGTCATCGATGTTTCTCTCTCTCTCCCCCTCTCTCTCGCAAATCAGTAAAAACATGTATTTCTAGCCAGGCCAGGGTGGCTCAGTGGTTGAGCATCGACCTATGAACTAGAAGGTCACGATTCGATTCCCGGTCAAGGCACAGGCCCGGTTTGTGGGCTCGATCCCCAGTGTGGGGCGTGCAGGAGGCAGCACACGTTTGTCTCGAGTCAAACATCAGAGCTATCGGCATCTTGGCTTACCTGGGAGTCGTGGGTGCTGCCTGCCTTCCCTTTTGTGGGTTCGATGAAATTATAGGCAAAGAGCAGCAGCAATGCCAGGGGAATCATGTACAGCTCAAAATTCCACACCGTGACCAGGAACACCTGATGGGAAGACAAGACCAAATCACGGCCTGAGAACACGGAATGCCAACCACCTTCCATGCCTCCTCAATGACTTCGGGGAATTAAATCTAGGACTCTCACTACAGCAGCTTTTAGAAACGGTGACACACAGGCGCGCGCACACACACACACACACACACACACACACACTGATGAATGCAGTTGTAGAACTGGGAGAATGAGGAAGAAACGATTGGCCAGGTACATCCTGGAACAGACCGATATGGCCCCATACCGGGAAACCCCATTCCCTGTCATATCGACTCAGCCGTCTGCTCCTAGCTGTATTGCACCAGAACGGAGGTACAGTCGTATGCTAACACCCACGGTCCCCGAGAGGCCGGCCACAGGCCAAATTTTGCCAACCATCAGGCTTATTTTAACTGGAGAGGGGATTACTTTTTAAATTGGCTTCCAATATTTTAAAACCCAAGTATTTCAGGTAAGACATTCCAGATTTTCAAAGTCTCTTTAAGAATCTTAAAAATCATCACCCTAGCAGGTTTGGCTCAGTGGAGAGAGCACTGGCCTATGGACTGAAGGGTCCCAGGTTCGATTCCGGACAAGAGAGCTTGGGTTTGAACCCAAGTGCCTGCGCCGCCATGGTCACCGGAAACAAGAACGCAGCGAAGACACAGCCCTGCCTCCAAGTAACACGCGGATTAGTAGGACAAAGAGGAAAAGGACACTTGGCAATTATTTCACGAGGCAGGAGTGACATCTCGGGCACATTATTTCCAGACTTAACGCCCCACTTTCTTTTCAGACTCACAGGTGGTCCCACAAGATGAAATACGGTAACGTGTGGTTATCAGCTGTCAGCCCGCCAGTGCTGGGAAAAAGCCACTCATGTAACTTATCAACTTAGAACAAATTAGAGACTTTCAGGCCGCATTCTTTAAGGATGGAGTTTCTGCTGGTTTTACTTTCCCCTTTTGCGCCCACATCAGACAAGCTACGCACTTCACCTGCCCAATTTCTATCCGTCTCTGAACTTGGGACCCTCCCCCAGAAAGGACAAGAGAGCTTGGGTTTGAACCCAAGTGCCTATGCTGCCACGGTCACCAGAAACAAGAATGCCACGAAGACACAGCCCTGCCTCCACGTAACACGCGGGTTAGTAGGACAAAGAGGAAAAGGACACATGGTAGTTATGTCACGAGGCAGGAGTGACATCTCGGGCACATTATTTCCAGACTTAACACCCCACTTTCTTTTCAGACTCACAGGTGTTCCCACAAGACGAAATACGGTAACGTGTGGTTATCAGCTGTCAGCCCGCCAGTGCTGGGAAAAAGTCACTCATGTAACTTCTCAACTTAGAACAAATTAGAGACTTTCAGGCCGCATTCTTTAAGGATGGAGTTTCTGCTGGTTTTACTTTCCCCTTTTGCATGTACGATAGGATTCAAGAAAAAACAACAGGAAAAAAAGCGCTTCTAATCTGTATTTATACACAAGCTTCTTTCCTAAGTACATAATCTGTATTCTTGTCTGAATATGAAACTTTTATTAAAATCCCATGGTTTGCCCGGCCAGTGTGGTGCATTGGTTTGGGTATCTTCCCATGCACGAGGTCACCGGTTCCATTTCCGGTAAGGCCACATGCACCA